CATGTGCTTAGCATGAACAAGGCCCCAGGTTCAATCCCTAGCACCAAAAATAAATAAATAATAAAGGGTTGATGTTTTTAGGGTTTTAGGTGGAGGTTACTTAAAAAAATAGATGCACGCACATATTGATACTGGCATATTTTTTTTGATACCGGGGATCGAACTCAGGTCCATGTGCTTGCAAGGCAGGCGACAGAACCACTGAGCTAAATCCCCGGCCCTGATGCTGGCATTTTCACAAGGCAATAGCATAAATTGGGGTAGGCAAACAATTACAGATTGAGACCTTGTCTAAAAAGAAACCAAAAAATAAGTAAACAAAAGAGTTCAAGAGCATTCTATTCCTTTATCCAATAGATTTCTAGGAGTGAGGTTACTACATCAAAGGCTTATGAACTTACTGTCAATTGACTACTATGTTCTTAAAATCCTTTCCACTCCTAGCTTCTATGATCTTTCACTCTTCTGGTTTTAGCTTATCTATTTAACCCCTCCTTGGTTGCCTTTCTTGAATTTGACTACATGGCAGCATCCATATGGTAAGCAGAATAATGATCTCCAACCCTGGATGTTCATGTCCTAATCCCCAGCAGCTTGGAAGATCTCACTTCATATGGTAAAAGGGACCGTGCAGGTTAAGCTTCTTCAGATGGGGTGATTCCTCTGCTGAATCAAATGTAATCATCAGGTCCTGACAGGACAGAGGGATATCTGAGTCAGAGAAGGACACATGGCCATGGCAGCAGGGGTCACGGTCAGAGTGACTGGGGTAAAGGGGTCTCAAGCACAGTTAATGGCTTTAAAGATGGAAGAAGAGGCCACAAGCCGAAAAAGGGAGACAGCCTGGAGAAACCGGAAAAGGGAAGGAAATAGATTCTCCTCTAGAGCCTCCACAAGAAATTCGGCCTTCCTGTCACCCTGACTTTAGCCCAGGGACCAAGGGGAGACTTAGGATCTCCAGATCTGTAAAATAATAAATCCGCGCGGCTTTAAGTCACTAAACTGGTAGTATTTTGTTACAGTGCCACAGGAACTGTATACAGGAAGTAATACAGTCCCCCACAGCATGGCCCTCTTATTTCCTTGGGCTGGGCATGGTGGCACGTCTGTAATCCCAGCACTGAGGAGGCTGAAGCAGAAGGATCACTACCCACAAGTTCAAAGTCAGCCTGAGCTAGAGTGAGTTTAAGGTCAGCCTGAACTACACAGTGAGATCCCGTCTCAACCCCACCCCCCATTAATCCTATTTCTTTTGGGATTTTCCATCCAGTTTGTGACAAACTCAAATTTATATCTCTGATCCTTTATGTTCACTTTTCCTACTTAACACAGATTTTTTTTTTTTTTTGCTCACAGGTTCTTAACACAGTCATTCTACTAGGCATGTGCTTAGATGCTGTAGGCCTAAATTCATGTGTTCAGAATGAAAAAACAAGTACATATCCACACTTAATAATATCTAATTTCCACAGTATTCGCTCAGATAAAGTCAAATATTTAAACAGTTCAGTTGATCCCCACTCTTCCTGATGACGCAATACATCAACAGCTGGGTGAAAATTCCAGTTATCCCTCAACATACGGAACACACGGGAGGCCAACCTCAGTGCTGCGTGTCCCTTTACCACCAGAAGTACTACATTAGGGGTTCTTGATGTGGGGCAAGTCTGCTCCTCAGGGAACCTCTGAAGATGTTTTTTACTGTCACATTTAGAGATGTGAGAGAGCTACTGGCATCTCATGGATAGAGGGTAGGGGTGCTGCTAAATGTCCTCCCATGCATAGGACAGTCTCCCACAATAAAGTTGTGGCCCCAAACATCACCATGCTGAGGCTGAGAAACTGCTGTAGATGATTCCAAGAATCAAATGTTTTAAACAAGGGTTTGGATTGGCTCAGCAACATTTAACCCAGTTTCCCAGCTAAAAGAGCCTCGGAAGCTCTTCTGATCATGCAGTTCACAATTCTCTCTTTGTCATAGACAGTTTCCATTTCTGGATTCTGCTTCTGGAGCAACCCCTACCACAGGCACTCCATTCCATACAGACATACTTGAGTTGCTGTATTAGGTTCTCCATAAAGACAGAATTAAAAGGAGACAGACAGATAAGGGATTTATCAGGGGACTGGCTCATTCCATTATGGAGGCTGAGAAGTCCCAAAATAGGCCATCTGAAAGCAGGAGAGCCAGGGAAGCCATAGAAGGGCTTGGATAAAAGTCCAAAGGCCTCATAACCAGGAAAGCTGATGATGTACTTCCCAATCTGTGGCAAATGGTCTGAGAACTTGAGTGACCGCTGGTGCAAGTCCTACAGTCCAAAGACCACAGAAACAGAATCCTGACATCCAAGGGCAGGAAAAGAAAGAATTGTCACAGCTCTAAAACAGAAAGCAAATTCACCTTTTCTCTGCCTTTTTGTTCCATCCATCCACAACTTTACCCAGCTGCATGATGCCTGCTCACACTGAGTAAGACGGGCAGATCTTCCTTACTCGGTTGACTGATTCAAATGCCAACCTCTTCTAGAAACACTCTCACAAACACACCCAGAATAATACTTTACCAGCTACCTAGGTACTTTGTGATTGAGTCAATCTGACACCTAAAATTATCCATCAGGTGCCATGCTCTCCCAAAACACATTCATGATGACAGCTGCTGGAATATAAGATAACAAAATCATTCAGAATCTGGTTTATACACACTTTGAATCATGTGGTGTTTTGAAAATTCCTTTGGTTTCCAGCTAATACATGTAAGAACATGCACTGCATTGAAAAACACAATCACTATGCACTCAAGACTGTCTTTCACAATCTGAACAATTACGAATCTGAAGTAAACACTTTTCTGGATCCCATGGAAGTGACTCTCCTTTTTTTGCTGATGGATTCCTTCAGTTACCACTACAATTCTAGGTGAGCAGTGATGGAGTGTTTTTATCTACCGCTGTCTAAAGAAATGAACTCCCCTGCTACACATTCATTATTTCTCCTTGAGTTGCTCTTCCAAAATATAAAATTAGTTCATCAGCAAGACTCCACAGAACGTTGATGGTTCCACAGCCTCTTGATGATGATATTAGAGACTATTTTCTGTTGTCGGTCTCCTGTTTTGTTGTTATCGTTTGGTTTTGGTTTGGTTTTGTTATCTATTGGGCTCTGGGAAAAGAGTGAGAAGAGAGGATGTCAGCTGCATCCTTCTTTCTGGGCAAATGAACAAGGAGAGAGGCAGCAACACTTTACTTTCCACATGCAGCCTTTAGTTAAGTAGTACTACAGCTCCTTCCCTATTAAAGGAATGTTCAGTCCCACTGACAATATGTTAGTGTCATATCCTGGCTCACCTCTTGCAAATAATGTATTTTAACAAATATTTAAATATTGACAATTTGATGAGTGAAAATGTTATCACGCTGTTGAATTCTCATTTCAACTACATTCCATTAATATTCAAACCATTTTAAGTCTACTTGTATTTTTTCTAATCTAACTCTAAATTTGACCTCTACCCACTACAGTATTAACACCTCTCCCCCAATCATGACAACCAACAATAACTACAGACTCTGCCAAATCTCCCCTGGGGGACAAAATTGCCCCTCTTCAACCAGAAGCTGAAGGCTACTGAGGCTGCACGACTCAAAAAGAGAATACAGAAGTACCTAAAAAACTGGTATTATCTCAGTGATAGCCTTTTCTTAGCTTCTGTGACATCATACTCTCCTGATTTTTTTTCTCTATTCATTCACTTTTTGATTTGTTTTGTTTTGTTTTGGTACTGGGGATCGGGGTACTGGGGATCGAACTTGGGTCCTTGCACTTGCACAACAGGCGGTGAAACCACTGAGCCAAATCCCCGGCCCTGTTTTTGTTTTTTGAGACAGGGTCTTGCTTTGTAGTTCAGGCTGGCCCTGAACTCACTATATAACCCAGGCTGGCCTCGAACTTCTGGCGATCCTCCTGCCTCTGCCTCCGCCTCCCGAGTGCTGGATTACAGGTGTGCACCACCACACCCAGCACTAGTCATTCATTTCTAACTCCCTTTCCTGTACTTAAATAAATTTCAGAGTACTGGTGGGCATGGCCATGGGTCTTCTGCTCTTCACTTATTTTGGAATTACCTAGTTCTGCAGCTTTAAATGGCATCTATTGATAAACTCACAATGTGTATTTGTGCCACATAAGTACTTTCCAAATCAAAGGGGATAAGGATAGTACTCGATACAGGGGACTTTCCATAGGGGAGAAAGAGCCCATTGCTGTGGGAGGGCTGCCAGGTCTCGGGCAATCTTCTCAGGCACCCGCTTTTGGTGCCAAGGGCTTTGGCCATACTCCCTTTGTGTGCAACCGCAGAGAGCGTGGGACTCCCAAGTGCACTCCAATCTACAAATGCCAGTGCTCCAAGCAAGACCCATGGAGAGAGTGGAGAGGAGAGCGGTGTAGGCTGTGAGACCCCGAAGGACTAAAGCCGGGAGGACTGCACTCGCAGCACGACACTGGCCGAGTCACCACGACCTCGGAGCATAATTTTCAGATTTGTAAAACGGGTTAACCGCCTGTGCTCAAGACCACCATCTCCACAAAAACCGGCATGAATCAATCGGTGGAGCAGAGTCGCAGCCTCGTTTTAATGGACCAATCAGAAACCAGTGGTCTAGTACACCAACGTCGGGAACCAATGAAAAACGGGGATTGTTTTAGGCTTCCTCCCAAGCTCCAGTCGGAGAGATCACGCGGGAACAGTTTATTCAAAAGCGAGTCCACGACTAGAGTACGGGATATTGTACTTTGTTTACAGAGATGGTGGGGAAGGTCGAAGAAAATTCTGGAAGCAAAGTCGCACCTCATCACCCCCCCCACCCCGCGCGCGCGCGCGCCAGGGACTCACCAGTCACTCTACAGCGCAGCGCGCGACGTGGGGAGGGTACGTACTGCGTGCTGACGTCACGGGGCGGGCCCCGACCCCGCCCCGCCCTCAGGCCGCCCATATAGCGTACCCCTAGCGCGCGCGCACACCATTGTGTGGCTGGACTCGGCCACCGCTGCGGTGTGAGGCGCGTGTTCGGGCTCTCGCCGTCCCCGCACCCGCACCGCGGCTCCTGTCTTTGGCCTGCCGTTGGAGGACCAGCCTTCGGGAATCCGTTCGCCACGGATATGCCGCGCGTCTACATAGGACGCCTGAGCTACAATGTCCGGGAAAAGGACATCCAGCGCTTTTTCAGCGGCTACGGCCGCCTACTCGAAGTAGACCTCAAAAATGGGTGAGTCGGGCCTGGGCGTCCGCGTCCGCTCCCAGCCCCCCGGGACTGGTGGCGGAGGAACTGCTTGAAACAGCAGCTAAGGCCGCGGCGCCGCGTGGCAGGGCCTCCAAAATGGCGGCGACCTGGCGCCGCGGGTGCGAGCTGGGTTGCGGGTGCGCGCGCGCACGCGCTCGCCTCCGGCTAACGCGCCTCCGCCGGTGTCCGGCCCGCGTACCGCCCCCAGGTACGGCTTCGTGGAGTTCGAGGACTCCCGCGACGCCGACGACGCCGTTTACGAGCTGAACGGCAAAGAGCTCTGCGGCGAGCGCGTGATCGTGGAGCACGCCAGGGGCCCACGTCGCGATCGCGACGGCTACAGCTACGGAAGCCGCAGTGAGTCCCACCCCCGCGCGCTCCGCGTCCTTGGGACCTGAGGGGTGGGCGCAGGCTCTGGGGTGGGTGGGGTGGGGCCTCCCAACCCGGGCAGGCGGGAGGGGGGCCGGGGGTTGTTTCACCCGGTATCTCCGGGCCCTGCTTCCTTCACGCCTGCCTGGGATGGCCATGGGACACTGGAGCGCGGGGATTGGGTTTGGGGTTTTGGTCAATGGGAGGGGGTGGCTTTTGCTGGGCCCTCCTTGGCACTGTCGTGGGTTCTGCCCGCGTTGGAAGCAAGGGATGACTGTATTTGTATCCCCTTTGCTTACCTGTCAGTGCAGTAGTTAGATATGTAGAAGTTTGTGGGCAGACTGGGGAGGAGGTGGGGGACAACGGGGCGGGGAGGGGAGGAGCTTGCAGGATAGGTCTTCAGAGTTATGAAGTTAGTGGGGGCCAAAAATGCTATTTTAAAGTAATGTGGTATTATACCACAAAGTAAATCTAAATGAGCTTTATGCTGTATTTAAACTAGTTGGGGCATGTTTTGGGGAGGAGGTTGGGGGGATTTTGGCTATGTTAAATGTTTGATGTTGAAATTGTTGCATGTTGAATTCAAACTTTTTAACAAGTCCTTGATGTTTCAATTTGAAAGTGACCAATGGGGCTGAGGCTGTGTCCACTGAGGCTAAGATGACTGCCTTTCCTGATTGGCCTTGGCTTTTCCATACATTGTGTGACCCTTGCCCTATGACCCTTTGGCTGACCTTACCGGAAGCCATGACGACAGCAGCCTTTTGCCATTAGACGCAGGGTGATGGTGAGGATTCCAAGGGTTAGACAAAACTGGTTAATCTGAACTAGGTGACTGTTACCTTGCGTGTTTTGTGGCCAAACCACCACCAAAAACCTCACACTGTGATGTAAGTACTTAGTGTAACTAGTAAACATTTTTGTAAAATGTAGAAATGCATGTAATCAGTTAAGTTTTATATTTTACAATGTTCTGTAAAATAAAACTTAGCGAGGTAAATTGAATAAAGGAGCAGTCACTCTCTAACAGATTGTAGGAAAGGTTTAGTTGGATTTAGTCTGTTTGACTTGCCCTTAATTTAATGTATGGCAAATCACAAATGTATCGAAGGTTTAGCAGTATAATAGCAAAGTCCTACTCCAGTAAATGAAAGTTGATATGTTTGTACTAACTTTCGAAAACATTATGCACCCCTATCATTACAAAGGATCTGATTGTTCCCTTCGTATGATAAAGGTGGTGGAGGTGGATACAGCAGTCGGAGAACCTCTGGCAGAGACAAATATGGACCACCTGTTCGTACAGAATACAGACTTATTGTAGAAAATCTTTCTAGTCGTTGTAGTTGGCAAGATTTAAAGGTATGTGCTGTAATTCGAGGTAAAATGATTAATGCTTGAAAGATAGGCTTTTAAACTTTTTCCCTTTAAAATAAAACCAGTATATATTTTTATTTAGATTTCTGGATCTGACCAGTCTCATTGTTTTAGGATTTCATGCGGCAAGCAGGTGAAGTCACCTATGCAGATGCACACAAAGAACGCACAAATGAGGGTGTAATTGAATTTCGCTCCTACTCTGACATGAAGCGTGCTTTGGATAAACTGGATGGTACAGAAATAAATGGCAGAAATATTAGGCTTATTGAAGACAAGCCAAGAGCAAGCCATAGGCGGTCATACTCTGGAAGCAGATCTAGGTAACTTGAAAGACATGGGGAGGGGAGGAAGAAAGTACTTGAATACTTTTCAGTTGTTTGACATTAAGATTTCATTGTGTTCCTTCTATAGATCACGGTCTAGACGAAGGTCGCGGAGTAGGAGTCGCAGGAGCAGCCGCAGTAGATCTCGAAGTGTCTCAAAAAGTCGCTCCCGGTAAATAACGTAGTATTGGGGCTTTTTTTCTGAATACAACTGGAGTTACATGTATGTTGCCAAGATACTGAAACAAATCTGGCTCTTTTGTCCAGATCCAGGTCACGGAGCAAAGGTCGATCACGTTCTCGGTCAAAAGGCAGGAAATCTAGATCAAAGAGCAAATCTAAGCCCAAGTCTGATCGGGGCTCCCATTCACACTCTCGAAGCAGATCTAAGGATGAGTATGAGAAATCCCGAAGCAGGTCTCGGTCCCGATCCCGGTCCCCCAAAGAAAATGGAAAAGGTGATATAAAGTCAAAATCCAGATCAAGAAGCCAGTCTCATTCCCATTCACCTGTACCTGTGCCACCCTCAAAGGCTCGGTCTGTGTCCCCTCCACCAAAAAGAGCTTCGAGATCCCGGTCTAGATCTCGCTCAAGGTCAAGGTCCAGATCAAGTTCCAGAGATTAATCCAGAACTCTGTTCTTTGCACACTATTATGGAACACTTTCCTACTTGCTTAGGCAGTTACTCTTCCATGTTTGTACTTGGCCTTTTCTGCAAGAGGATCTCCTGAGAACAGGGGCACACGGAAATTTGATTTGTGGCCAAATTTGATGAAAAAGATGAGGTTCTAAAATGGTGGCATGAAGTTAAAGACCCTCTCCCTTCTTTGTAGAATTAAGATAACTTTGATTTTATAGCTTTTGAGCTAAAATAACTTTTGTAAAGATTAAGCTCATTTAGATTTTTTTTTTTTAAAGTATTTCAGCAGGATCTGCTGCAGGGGTTTTTTGTTTTGTTTGCTTATTTTTAAATTAACCGTTTCAAGCTTTGGATACTTAAGGCTTTAGAGGGAGAACCCAATTTTCAATTATGTTAGCTTTTTATAAAGCTTGAGTTATGTAAGATTTAAATAAAAGTTTGCTACCAAGATGATTGCCTTATTGAATAGGTCACTATTAAATTCTTTAAATGTTGATATCTGGTATTTGTGGAAACAGTGTAAATTCTACTTAAGTGTATAACAAGGCAAGCCTCAGACCAGCAATAAATTATTCAGTTTGGATAACATTATTTTGTGCTGTTAATCAAATTTGCCAAAGTCTTTATCTGCCCCTCTAACAAGCTGAGTTAAAAATAAAAGGTATTTTGTAGTTGATCTGTTACATAATTTTGCCTAAATTGATAGATTTTAAATAACAAAACTGTTTTCAAGCTTACAATTTGAACTCTTTAAGAGATAGCTCCTAGTGCTTGGGATCTTGTTTAGCTGGTAATCCCATGTTCTGGAAGTGGTCAATGTGATTAGTGTTGTTAGAGTATGGTTTGGTGGTCTTTAACACTTGTTATGTAAAAATGGAAGTAGCAGTTCTTAGAAATTTAATGTATCAAAGTGGAACAGCACATAATGCATTTTCTGCTGAAAGATCCTTATACTTAACAGGCACTTAACAGATCGTTTGATAAGTCAGTTGGTAATTAAAATAACTCCCAATAATCAGTCTCCATGGTAGTTAGTGATGATTTTTTGGCTCATCCTTGTAAATTTTATACTTTCCTGTGATTGGCTTACACAATGAACTACATAAAGTCAATTATTTGTGCTTTATTATGAATGAAGTATAATGGATACTGTGGAAATCAAATTATACTGCAAATTTGTACGAATTATTGGGTTAATCCATACATCCATTCGTAAATACTTTAGATTGCAGTTCAAGAAGTGATTAGGGTGCTTTTAAATAATTTCATTTTTAGAAAGTAGCTGTAGTCTGAAGTCAAGGTTTAGGTGAATTGGTTCAGGTCCAATAACTTCTAGGACCTATCTTTTATGTAAAGTGCTAAGAGCTGGATTGTCAATGGCACGATATTTTAGGTTGATACATAGTACAAAATAATCAGAAGATACAGTAATAAAATGAGGTTGATTGAATAAAGTGAGCCAAGGATCTAAATAGATGTCAGTTGGGAGTACTTGGTGATGTGAAAACCTGGTTTTTAAGAAATTCCTATCTGGGTTTTCTGTTGGAAAAAAATCTTAAAAGCCTCACTTTGGGGCTATAGTGCACCATAAGGTTGATGCTGCTTCTGTTATGTTTTCTTTGATACTTCATTTATGTAGAGGTTTATTAGAAATGGTTTTATTTTTTCAACATAAGCTTAGAATATAAAAGAAATGGAGTCTGTAATTTTATTTTGCCTGTTCAAAGACTAGAAGTGATAACTCAGAAAAGATTGGCTTTGACCAAAGTTTTCTTTTTTTCAGAGAAAGACCCATAAAAGCTTACTGAGCCACAGCCTTTTAAAAGGAGGCAAGGGCAATATTACAATGAAATTTGGCTTTCTAAAAGAGTATCATCCTCATCTGGGTTTTCTGTTCCATTAGGTAAGAGGCATATGACTACATCATTAGCTGCCTCAGTAAGTGGGTAATTGTATAGGTACATGCTTACATAAATTTTTTTCTAGTAATGGTAAAGACCAATTATTAAAATTTTAATCTATTTCATATCTATAGATCTAAGTCATTGGATGCACTGAACCACCGTATGTATAACATTGGCCTACTTAAGAAAACAGTTGACTAATTTAAAATGCTATTGCTAACTAGTGAGTAGTCTGAGAATTAGCAACATGCCTCACATTTTTGTTTAGTGGCTGGGTGCAGTGTTGATCTGATAGCACAAGGGAGGTGAGGAGCATTGGGAGTCCCATTTCTTTCACTCAGTAGTGTTTTGTTGATTTGCCACAGAGCCTTTATGGCCAGTTTAGAGTCCTACTTCAGCTTTTATGTTCCCAATCCTTTGTTACCACCTCTCATCTTGGATCTTCTTTTTTCCACTTTGTTAACCAATTTTATGCATTTACTTCAATAAAATGCTTACTGAGGGAAAGGCTTGTTTTGAATTTATTGTGTATTTCCACTTAGCATGAAATTCTTAGCCAATGGGATTTTGCGTAGGAGTTGCCATTGGTTGGCCATTTCTTGTTATGAGAAAAGAATCTTGTTTCAGTTATACAGAAACAAGAGTTTGGGATCATCAACATAGTAGATGGTTTATCTTGGGCAAATTATTAATTCCCAGTGCTTCATTTTCATCCTTTGAAATGATAAAGATAAAACATAGGCTGTGAAAATTAAAACTTATAAAAATACTTAGAACAGTACCATAATAAATAGCTGCTATTATAAAGGATTAAATATACTAATCTTTTATTAACTTGCTTTGTTTTCGTACATGTACCCATTCTACCCTGTAGTGGTTTTGGTTATTTTTGTTTCTTCTTCAAATAAGCCAGGAACCTTTAATCATTTCCTAAGCCCTAACATCCTTAGTTCTGGACTTTAGACACTAAACTTTGGCAGTTTCTACTTCAGTACTTTCATATTTTCATTACTCAGCCTTGTTCTTGGCCCTGTTTTCCATCTTCATTCTCCATGCATGCAATTTTAGATACATGGTGGTGGAACCTCGTGGAGAATTATATTTTTTCTTTTTTATTTTTTTGCAGTACTGGGGATTGAACTCTAGGACCTTGCACTTTTGAGGCAGGCGCAGTGCCACTGAGCTAAATCCCTGGCCTGAATTTCATATTCTTAAGTTCTGGTTTAACTTTATGAAAACATTCTAAACCTGGAGATATACCTCAGTGGCTGGAGTACTTGCCTAGTACAGTGAACCCTCGAGTTACAGCTGGCCTGGTATACATACAACTTGGGTTATGACCTAAGTGCTGGCTGCTTGTGCTTCCAGATCATCTCAGATACAGATTTAATCCTTAAAGAATTCTGAAGGGAACATTGCAACATTCTTTCCTGTGTGGGGTTAATTGAGAAATCCTAGGCGAGTGTCTTTCGAGATCTGCCTATATACTGGAGACTTTGAAGGCTGTGTACAGGAACCTGAGCCTTCAACTGACTAACTTGAGTTATAACCAGAATCATGGAAAGAATTAAGTTCATGAACCAAGGGATCACTACACATTTATATCCCTTGAATGATGTGTACCAATTTGCTAAGATCCCAAATAATTTATATATGCCTGGCTCTTACAGCAAGATGCTTATATGTGTAAGTGAATGTTAGTTACATCCATATATTTACCTGTATATTTACCATGTACCACATATTCATATATATATGTATACACACACCATATATTCTAAGAGGGTCTGTGTAGTACAGTGTGAAGCTTTTTTTAGGCTGATTCAGTTCTTTAAAACATTAAAAGTTCAGGGCCGGGGATTTAGCTCAGTGGTGCCGTGCCTGCCTCCCAAGCACAAAGTCGAGTTCAATCCCCGGTACAAAAATAAACATTAAAGTTCAGTGCCTATTTCAGATAGTTCCCCTTGTTAAAAGCTCTAGAGATATTAGATCATAGTGTTAGAAAATACACGTTTTAGCTGCATTTGACAGTTTCATGCTTGGAGAAGAATTGCAGGTGTAGCACAAAGAACTATATACTATTTCCTTATTTACTTTGTTTCATTTCTTCATTTACATGATTTTCTTAGTGGTGAAAGTAAGTTGGAAATACTGTGTTTTTATATCCCTAAAGAAGTATGTACAGTTGCCCCTCTGTGTACAGAGAGAATTGGTGCCAAGGTGCCTTCCCTCAGACACCAGTTGGATACTCTGATCCCTTACACAGTGTTTAAGTGCCATGGTATTTTCATATAAACCTTAGCACATTCTCCCATATACTTTTACCTCTAGATATACCTAATACAGTGTCAATAGTCACGCATAGCACATTTCATTCAGTGGTGTATTGCACATAATTGTCCCATGAGATTTTTTCTCACTTGGTGATGGCATAGTCAACTTAGTTTGAGTTAAGTATTCTTAACAGTGTGCGCATGGTGATGTCACCTAGCAAATGCACTGTTCAAAATACATTCCAGTTGTTAACATATGACAATAGTTATTTAGGGAATAAGAACAAGCAGGTGGAAGGCTGATTTTTTTCTCCCTAGGAACCAGGGGTATTATATCAAAATCAGAAAGTTAGCATCAATAGGATATTGCTTAATCTTTGGTCCATATTTACTGTTTAATAGGGTCTCACTATGCAGCTCAGGTTACCTCAAACTCCTAGTGATCCTCCTGCCTCAGCCTCCCAAGTGCTGGGATTATAGGCCTGTGCCACCACACCCAGCAATATTTAAACTTTTTAGTCTAAATCGGGTGTGTTCTGAGCCTTTTTCTTATCCTTGTTATGTTTAAAGAAGAGTAAAAGACAGTTATTTGGTAGAATTTCCAGTAGTTTGGGTTTCTCATACATACATGGCTGCATTTTTTGGCAGAAATAATCATAAGCATGAGACTTAATGCATTATAGCCAGTGGCCCATGCTAATAACACGGATCACTGTAGTCACTTTTCCGCTTCATAATTAATGCTTTGTAAAGGCATTATGAGTCTACTGAATGCCTACTTAGATACCTACTGTGGACATTTATTGCTGGTATTTATACAGTGATACCTCGGTTTATGAACTTAATTCTTTCCATGGATTCTGGTTGCAAACAGTCAAATTCAGTGGCTAGGTTCAGTGTTGGCCTTATGGGGAGATTGGATTCAGTTCTCATCCAATTCAGTTTGCAACCAGAATCCTGGAAAGAGTTTAAGTCCATGATCTGAGGTACCCACTGTATTTGCTGACAGTCTGTAAAGGAAGTGCTTCCCCTGGGGCACATTTCCAAGAATAAGGATGAAAGGTTTTGTTAGCCAGTCATGGAGATGAAAGGGGAAAGCTTTGATGGCATGAGATTGAGTGTCATTACTCTCAAAGCAAGAGATTGCTAGTCTAGGGTCAGAATGGCATTGGGAAGCATCATTTGCATAAGAGAAATAAGGAAGAGAAAATAGGCTGCATCCTCATCTATAAAACACTGCCTTCTAATACTGTGAAAAGTAGATGCTATTATCAAAGCACTTTGCACAGTCACTGTATACTAGCTACCTTACACTGTAAATAGAATAGCTAAACCCTAACTCTGCCCTAGCCAATTGAGAAAAAGTCAGGGTTGCTGAATGTGGTGACCTAGTAAAGTGTATCTACTGTCCCTATTTTCTAGGGACAGTATTCATGAATGGCCTGGATGTACTAAATACATTGCTGTTACTTTTTTTGGGGGGGTGGGGGTACTGGGGATCAAACTGGGGTCCTTGCACTTGTAAGGCAGGCAGCGGAACCACTGAGCTAAATCCCCGGCCCCCATTGCTGTACTTTTATCAGAATTTCAAACACCAGTGAAGAGGGTATAGTATGATGAGCCACCCTAGCATTTCTTCTATAGGTGCATTAATGTATATGTCTAAAAGATATCTGAAGTCTAAATCTAGTCTCCCTGTTTTTCCCTTGCAATGTATTAAAGAAGCCAGTACACTTCTGCAGTTTCGAAGTCTTGATTTTGCTATTTGATTTCATGTCATTAGTCTATTTTTTCCCCTGCATTTCCTGTAAATTAATAAACTTAGAGCATTTGTTTTCAAAAGTAAAGTCCCTGGACCAGCATCTTCACCATCACCTCAAAATATATTAGAAGTTCAACTTTGCTAAGCATGGTGATGCATGCCTGTAATCTCAGCTATGGGAGACCAAGAGGAAAATCCCAGGGTTGACCCCAACCTTGGCAATTTAGCAACTTCTCAAGACCCTGTCTTGGGCTGGGGATTTAGCTCAGTGGTTCCGCCACCTGCCTCACAAGTGCAAGGTCCCGAATTGGATCCCCGGTACCAAAAAAAACCTGTCTCAATAATATAAATGGACAGGGGTGGAGGGGTAGCTTTTATGCAAAGACCCAGGGTTCAGTTTCCCAGTATTACCAAAAAGAAAAAAGATAATGTAAGTTCTCAGGTCCTGTCTTGGACTCAGCTGAATCAGAGACAGGTGATGCCCAGCTTCCAGGTGGTTCTAATGCATGCAAAAGTAGGAAACTAGTCCAACATCTTTGTCAAGTTCCAGCTTATGTATGTTTTTCTTTTCAAGGCAACTACTTAGGTGTCTTGCCTTTTTATTGTAGTGGTAGCCGGGCCAGGGATTTAGCTCAGTGGTTCCGCCGCCTGCCTTGCAAGCGCAAGGACCCGAGTTCGATCTCTGGTACCAAAAAAAAAAAAAAATAGGGCCAGGGATTTAGCTCAGTGGTTTTGCTGCCTGCTGCGCAAGCGCAGGGACCTAAGTTCGATCCCTGGTACCAAAAAAAAAAGAGAGACATATAGTGGTAGCCATTGATTTTTGCCTAGATTATCAAGCCACAAATTCATGGTTTTAAACATTTCAATGTATTATTATTATTATTTTTTTTTTTTTTGGTACTGGGGATCGAAAACTTGGGCCCTTGTGCTTGCACAGCAGGTGGCGAAACCACTGAGCTGAATCTCCAGCCCTCAATGTATTATTCTTAACCATCATTGCCTTACTCAGTCTTCACTTGGCAAGACTCAACTCAGTTGCCTCCTGAGTTCTTTTGAAACAATCCTAAATTTGTCCATTCCCATGTTTTCTGGTATACTGTGATTTCCAGGCTTATCATGTAGATTTTCAGTCCCAGATCTGAAATCAGCCATTTCTCCAAGGAGCCTAGTTATTTTTAGTTGGAAATTTATTTAGCAACCACAAATCTTGGCCCTTGGGGTACTCACATTACTTGTTTTGTCATGGGCTGTTGGACTGGACAGAGCTGGGAAACTGATTTTGTTGATTCTGCTTCTGACCACACAAATGTTACCTTCTGATCATCTGAAGGGTCCTGTCTTCTGTCTGCACAGCAGTTTTGGTTTTTTGGAGAGGTTTTTTTGCAGCAGTTTTGAATACCCTGGTCATCTCATTGTCCTGTACTCGGGTTTGTGAGTGTCCTGCAGAGTAGAGTCCATTGGAGAGACAGCAT